TCTATATTTAAGTTTTGTAACTTCTGAAGTGCTAAAGCAAAAATACAGAATTCCATCTGAGATGGATACTGTATTACTATTTAATGAAAATACATCACGACCTGTTGCAACCATATCAATGAAAGAAATTCCAACTCAGTCACTACATCACATTATTTCATCCAATCAATACTTAGCACTGCCTAGATTATCCTCACAGGTAATTAGTTATTAAATAATTAACATGTTGCTCTTTGTAAACAGTAAATTGATAAAAAATAAGCTTATTATTGATTATTGAACTTAATACGACAATGTATAACTATTTCAAATATATTATCATATAGTTTCAAGTTCTTTAAAACTATGAACGAAAAAGATGTAAAAGCGTATTGATTTGTGTTTTTTAGAGTATTTTAGACTCTTTATGTCCTTGTGAATGGAATAAACCGAGAAAAAGACTTTGCGTGGTCCTAGTGACAGAAGATTCTCAATGCCACGATCCTCACAGACAATCTTTTAGATTGTACGCACAATCGGCCCCCTACAATCCGGAAAGGGTTCGTTTTGCATACATTTACCATAGCAAGCAATCAGACTTTGTTAATTCCCTTATTCCAAGTAAGGACACAACAAATTAAAATTTGTCTTAATTGTTCTTTAATTATCAATAATATTATTTAGGTGGTAAAGAAATAGAGCCATTGCTACGAATAGTCATTATTTGGAGAAGAGACACGTCTCAAGTAAAATACGAATGGTTGCCAGACAAGTGGGAAATTGAAAACGATTTGAATGAGACGGTTAATAAACTTGAAACGACTATTTCCAAATTACTGAAGTCATCTGAAGCTCTAACATATGAGGCTTTTGTTAAGGTACGTATTATATACAGAATTAAGTTAAGTAAAAATTATAACATTGTAACATCTATTGTTAATTTTTAGGATTTATTCGATGAACACGCAAAAGGAATATTCGGTCGGATCTTCGCTAAACTTATGATGTTTAGTGAATCAGTTTATGAGGGTTTGAGCAAGGATCAGGTTTTACCAGCTTTGTCGGTTGTAGGCACAGTGGTATTTATTGTAGCCGTTGGTTATTTTATGGCGTATTTAGTGTACGTTTCTTGTTTAATTTTATTTTATATTATTAATTGTATGAAATTTTTACAGACGATTAGAAGAGGAAAGTATCAAAAAGCAAAGGGAAAAAGAGGGTCGCGATCGCACGGAAAATAAAAATCCTACCTATCAGCCCGAACTAAAATTGCACGAACTTAGAGCTGAAAAGTATAATGGATTAGTGCGTTTGTTAAAACCTGGCTGTCGCACTATCATTTTAGTACTTGACATGCAGTCTAGACAACACTTGATACCACCTTTTCATAAAGCTGTTTGGCCATATAGAAAGTAAGTGGAGTTTATAAGGCATAACTGAAGTCAGAGATGGACAAAGCCCCTACAAAATAACTGTAAGACCAAAGTTCAAGGAGTTTGAATAACTAATTACTTTGCAAAGTAATTATATTCAAAACCCTTTTAGCGTTTTGAAAGGGCTTAAAACCCTCAAAGAAATTCTTTTGTTCACAAAAGGGCTTCAAGTACAGTGTTTCTAAGCACTGAAGGAACTGGAAATTCATTTTCAGGCACTAAGCTTTGTCTAGTTCCGACTGAAGTAGCATTTAAATGACTAACTTTTGAAATTGCTATACCGTGATTTCTTCTTTTAAACGTAGCATATACATTTTTCAGAAACAAAACATTAATGTTTGCCTATATGTACATTGAAAGAGGTTTAAGTTGGTATAAAGAATTGTTACAATTGTCCCTTCCTGAAGAAAGAGACCTTAACATCAATCCTAGAAATTGTGTAGGAACTGTTTTGGCCTTAAATGGCCATAGAAAATATTTCTGTATGTTTCATGCTAAACATCCTGAGACCAAGAGGAAACAAAATGACAAGGTGTTTATTGAACAAAAAATATTTTAAAATTGTCCTTTGGCTAATAAACTAATGTTTGAATTGGTTTAATTTTTATCAGGATAAGAAATCAGATCGTTGGAAAGGTAGTGAGAAAGACTGTGAAGCAGCAGCTTTTATAGGTTTTGATACAGACAGTTCAGAATCTGATGACGACGTATTATTGGAGGGAAATTTGTTAGATGGCTTTTCAAACTGGTTGGATCGGCTATTTGAGGGAACAACTCAACGTTTCTATATTAATTACTGGCCAGAGTTTCCTAATAAGTAAT